CAGCAGGTCTTGAAAATGGCATTCTCATATGAATAAGGTGATGACGGCTGGAGCTCGAAGCTTAAAAAGAACAAGTGATACAGGCACATTGTGATAATATGGCAGCAATGTGTGGTAGAATGTATAATATGTTGAGACCTAAAAGAAGTTAAAGGAAAAAAGTTGTTTCAGCATGAGCTGTGGAAATACAGTATCAACAGGGCAAAGAAAGGGCTCGGCCACACAATGTAAAAATGAGTTAAGCAGAAGCGAGTGAAGAAGACAACCCCTGAAAGCTGTTCCTTGTGCTGTCAGGCAGTTCCATAAATCGTGTACCCATCTGCTGCCTGTCAGCTCACAGGTGTCTTTTGTCTTTGGTGAAAAAAGTCCCTTTTAATAGTGGAACTGTTACTGTTTGTGGTAATGATAAGATTCAGTCATCCAGGCAGGGTGTTTAAAAAGAAATTTCTCCTTTATGGCAGGATAATAAGAAGCTGGTGACAGTTTTACATAAGCCAGGTAGTTGATGGGTAAGGTTTGCAGATCCGAAATCAGAGAAATACTTTTCCTGGACCATTTATTCACATTATATTTGTACTGAGTTGAGTTCTGAATTCTTTTGTTTTGACTAAGAAAAGTCACTAGCATCTTTTGCAGAAAATAAGCAGCTGAACTGTAGCCATTCTCTGTGAGCACCCTGAAAGGGATACAGAGCATCAAGTAGACAGGCAGCATGTCAAAGTACACCCTGGTAGCCTGGGCAGCAGACTGAACTATGCCATCATGCCAGGGCTCTTGACCTGCGGCATTTGTCTGCAGTAGCCCAAGCAGACTCCAGCGCTCCCGGTTCCAGGAGGGGTATGAGCATCGCAACGGGGATCCAAGGAGTCTCTTCCTCCTGCCCCCTACAGCAGTGTTGGAAGACCAAAAGCCACAACAGTGGAATAGGTGTCAAAATTGTCACTGTTTGCTCCCTAGGTACAGGGACAGAGCATGCTCATACAGCATGCATGGTGCACATTGTAAAACCTCCTAAGACTGTGTCAGGGCTGCTTTTCTCCTTTCACCCTCCCAGGATATCTCTCGCACACAGATGTAACAGGGAGCCCTGAGTTTGTATCTGAGTTCAGTTTGTAAACTTAGGTCTTACTCATTTTTATCATAGCAAGCTATATGTTTTCATGATTCTGGTAGATACTTTCACATGTTGTTGTTAGCTTGGGCTTGAAGAAGTGAAAGGTTCAGTAACGGTTAGAAAGATATCACCAGGAAAAAAGTAGTAAGAAGTTTCATTGTGCATACTATCAGTCAGGTGTATTTGATAAAACAATTGCATTGCAATAAGCCAGAGCTCTGTTGTGGGTCCTGAGAGTGTTGTGGGTGATATGGAGCATAAGATTCTGATACATTCCTGTTCCACTCATAGCAGACTGATCTTCTCAGCTTTTCTTATGTCCTTCAGTGAAGGAAACAGTTTGTAGTGCTGTTTCCAAATGAATTCATGGGATAAATGTGCATAATGTTTTTACCCCACAAGATAAACGTAATATTAGAGCTGGCGAAGGTTCTAGGTCTTAGTACGTTTGGTTCAGAGGTTCTTTCCTCTATGCTTGGCTTGCTCTCCCTTAAATCTGACATTAACTTTATTTTTTTATTTTTCTCATGGGTATCAAAAAAAAAAAAAGATTGGAGGCACAAGCTCTGGTCTTATGAGCATGCTGTTGCTGACCAGCGCTTTAGTTTGTCTATCCAGGAAGGTTCTTCAGAGTCAATTTTTCTAGGTTCCTTTTCTCAGAAGTCATTACCCAAAGTGGAACAAAACCTGTTGAATTTAAGACAGTAACCCTCATCTTCCAGGGTCTCAGCCAAGGACCTGCTTTGTCTCAGAAAACTAATAATGCAGACCACTCACTGTGAGAGACAGGGCAGACTTTCTTCCTTCTTGTGTGTCTAGCTGGCCTCCTACACTCCTGAGCTTTGTAGATCATTGATAAGAGCACCACAGATGAAAGGTTTTTTGGTTACATTGTTCTTTTTTTGCCTGACCTCCAAAGAATCTCTCACTCCAGCTGAGTTATTTGCTGGCTAAAACCGGCTCTTCTAAGAATAGTATATCTTCAATTCATCACCTGAACTATGTAAATGAGGCTGAATCCAAATCTTCTTAAAAGAAAAGCTACTCTAGATAAAGCTATGTTTGGGCAGGGTCTGTCCACTAAGTTAGCCAGGCTGGCTTGTGCCAGTGGGTTGATGTGAGAGGCACAGGCTTTCACCCGCAGAAGCTGAGGGCAGAGGAAAGCTCCTGATTTTGTAAAGCTGCTACTACTTTTTCTTTCATAGGAAAGATATCATAATGTGGCTCTAGAAATAAGATGGCAGACATGATGTTAATGAACTAACCATTGAATTATTTGAGTGTATCTATGCAGAAAACACAAGGGGATGTAGAAGCCTACATGCATTTCACTTTCCAAGTCTTATATAGGCCAAGAGATGGTGAAAGTGTGCAGCTGACAATGAAGATGTTTTAGTATTCTCTCTTGGTTTAACAGCTTACTTCTTACTCAAAAGTTGGACAGTTAGCAATATAAAATTACAGTCAGTGTTTTGGTTTGTTGGTTGGGGTTTGTTTTTTTTTCCTTTTTTATCTTGGAACCAATGCAAAATATCTGAATGCGGTTGCTGTAAGTCAGATGTTAACACCTGTCCCTTGCTCCCCTCTCCTGTTTTCTACACTGTCTCTTTTACACAACCTCTTGGGCATGGTGCCATTGAAATCACAGAGTAAGATCTGGAAGTCTGCAGACATACAGATCTGCTCATCCATCTCCAAGAAACATTAATTCAAAACTGCAGAGAGCTGCAAAAAGCATCATGAGACAGCTGTTCTTGTTCAGCCTAGCAAAACGGAACCTGAGAGAGCCCGAGTGTGTTTGATGAATGTAACAGTTGGTATATAGCCAGGAGAGAACATGGCTAAAGCACAATGCTGGCACAAGTAGAAAGGAAGAAATAGTGCCTTGAAATACATTTAGACTGGAAATTAAAGGAAGCTTTCTAACAATTAGAATGGGTCTTTTCTTGAACAGAATTTTAGTAGCAATAGCAGGAACAAAAAATGGAGCTGGCTAAATCTGAAGTTTATGAAAGGATTTGTATGAATTGACCACCTGCATCAGCACAGTCAGTGAGTCCAAAAAAGAGACAAAAGACACCTTTTGTTGCCCTGTGTCCCATGTTCCTGCATGACAGCTTCCTGGGTTTTGATTAATCAAAACATAGCTCTCTGCACAGGCTGGAAAGGAAACTCATGATTCTCAAAACTCTTACTGAGTTTCATTTTGCAGGAAGTTAACCTGCAAAAGACAACAAATCATACATTATTTCCAACTTCCTTTTTACGTAGTGCTACTCCAAGGAGTTGCGCTCATCTTCCAGAAGAAGGGTGCTTTGTAGTTGATGTAGTTTGTATGCTTGTGCTACAGCATTACTGGTTTTCAATGAGCTAGCTTCATGTCACTGCTCTAGCTGTAGAAACAAAAATATCAGTAGTGTATGACAAAGTCCTGGGGTAGAAAGCTTTGGCCTTTGGTTCCTTAGAAGTTTGCAAAGGTAAAGAAAAAAATAAATTATGTTATATAAACCAGTCGTGTATGGCTTCTGAAACAATGCTCAGGATTTTCATAGGTCCGTTTGGTCCGGAGTGTGTAAAAAGTCCCACATTTAGCCTCCAAAATAAGTAATCTGATTTTCCAGTGCATATGGCTCACTGACATCTTGCTGAAAGTCTTTGAGACTTCATGAGTCCCCACAAGAGCTGTTGTATACTGAGTACTTTGTAACCCTGATCATCATTTAGGTGTTTACATGAGAACACAGCTTTCTTAAGTCTGGCTCCAGTCACGATTTCTGGACACAAGAAAATCTCGTCTCAAAGGGAGCCTTCTTGAAAATCTGGACTTTGGAAAATTTATTCTAAACATAAACATGTCGATCCAGATGCTTAGTGAGACATTAATATTTGCTTTTCTGTTTAAAGAGTAATTTGTAGGCAGATTGTTTTTACAGCAGATGTCTTGATCAAGGCAGCGGTGAATAAAAAATATTCCTATCTGATAGTCTTTCAAGACCTTTTGTTAGAAGGTCAGTTTGTGATGAACAGATGTCTACATTAAGAAAAACAACAATAATGTGAATAGATTGCAGCTGGTGCTGAGGTACCTGTGAGACTGGCTTGAACAAATAGATGGGTCTGAACTGATTCAGATGCTTCCTTGTTTTGGCAAAAGATGCAAAAGAAAGAGCAGGCATGAAGACCAAAGGTCCATATTCAAGCAGAACCATGTTAGGGAGGTACAATTACAACATAATTCTATCTGGAGCCATTTGCAGACATCAGACCATCTCTGTCACTGTTCAAGATCAAGCCACTGTTGCCATTATTAGTTATGTATTACTACAGTATTTATGTATATACCAGGAATTTATTGTAGTGTCTTACAAAAATTCAGAAGAAAACCCTAAAAAGCTTCAATGACTTGGAGTGAAAGAGAGGACACTGTGGCTAGGCACTGAAAAAGAAGAGGGAACCAGGCCAGGATAAGAAGCACAATGCCAGAAGCCCGAAAATTGACAGCTTTAGCATCATAGCAAAGGAGAATTTGGGGGAGGACAGTGACTGTTCACACAGCCTGAGGGGCAGCAGAGGAATACTAATGAAAAGCATCTGCTTCAAAACCTTGCTTCTCTGGTACAATGTTCAGGTAGGAACTGGAATTCTGTATCTCAAGAGTAAATGAAAAATAATAGTTTGAGCAAGATCAGAGAAACACTGGGAGCAGTCAAGTTTATATCTGATGAGATAAAAACGATGAAGCTAATGAAGACAAAAACAGCAAAGCTAACAAGATACCAAGAGGGATGATGTGGTCAAAGGTAATTATCTTCACCAATGCCTTCCTCATGACTATGTGCAAAAACAGATTCATGGGTCAAGGCCAAGGAAAGGGCATGTACATAGACTCAGTAAGTGCTGTAACTATCTGGGCAGATAGGATGCTGCTGTGCACAAAGGGTCTGCCAGTCTTTGGTGTGATGTACATAACAGCATGGAAAGAGTTTCCTAGATAAAAATAATCCCAGTGATGGCATGGTATTTCATTTAAAATCAATGTTATATAAATTGCCAGTTTTAATCACAACTGAAGTCTGCAAGCAAGAACTTTGATGTGAATGAACCATTCCAATTTTTGTTTTCATTTATAGTTTTTAGTTATTTCTCTAAAGAAAATTTGAAAATTATTAGTATAGTTGTCACTGAGATGTATTTATTTGCAACTAAGTAAAGCTTTAGCTCTGAATTTTGTACTTTTTTCCTAAATGTGAAGATAAATTCTAATATACATTATTTAATCAGTTATATAGTTTAATGTAGATCAACTGAGATTCTAAATAATTGCACTGTTTTACTTTAGAATATAGTGATTGATGTATTTCTTTTTACTAGGTTATCGTTATCTTTTCAGTATTTTCTCTGCTAATATGACTGGCAACAAAACACGGTAATGGTGTATAAGTACACAAGTTTTGGTTTTTTTTTTCTTACTAGTAAATAAAATTTTAGCATGTTCGACCTATAAGTAAAAGGTGTATGAAAAATTGTTTATACTTAAAATTCTTTCTGATCATTGTGACCTTCAGGAGCTTCAAAATATAAAATCTTACCTTCTTTTGCCATGTTTGTTATAAATGGAATTAAAATTTTTAAATATCCTGCTTTTTCAGAATTAAATCAGTTTTTCAACTTTGAATGAAGGTAGGTAGAATTTCACAAGGAGATGCTTTTTGCTGTAAAAGAGGGGAGTAAAATGTATCAAATACGTATGTTTCTTTCTTTTCCAAAGTCTTTGTCTGGTCCAGAGTTCTTTCTCTGTAAAACATAAAGGCAATACAGGAATCTGTGCTCAAAAGAATCTGTTTGAAAGCTGTAAATGGTTGATATGCAATGGTTTTGCAAAATATTAGCAAAACCATATTAGTCTATAATGGGCTGGTAATAAAGGAGGAAGCCACTGGACTGCTGGTGTTAATTCCTTCAGTTCATTAAGAGAGATAATGTGTGCATGCTGCTTTTAATATCTGCAGGTGACGCATTAGGTCCATGTTAACAAGCCTTAAGCCAGAGGTTGAAAAGGCTTAGTTTCTGAGATGGAGAATGTCATTGTTGTCCAATACATTATTTGTTTTTCATCTACTAATCTTAGAATGAAAAGGTGCTGCTTATCTCTTGGGAATCTTTTACATGGGAAGGAAGAGCATGAGGAATGGACATTTAATATGTCTCACTGTGAGGCTCTAATAAAAATATACTGCAAGGAATAAATTGGTTTTCTCCTGAGTGATAAGAGACTGACTGATAGAAGTCCTTGCAATGTTTGCTTGGCTCCTTTCTTCCCCAACCACTGTAGTTTTTAGTAACATGAAAAAAAAGCAAATATTATTCTGATGTTATGCTCTTGTTTTTATAATATCCTTTTTCTGGAAGGTTTGGGATGGCTATCTTGAGGCCAAATGGAAAGATCTGGTGTCGGTGAATAGATAAAGATTCCCATATGGGAACTTCATCTCTTTCCATCTAGGAACAGCTAGTCTTACAACCACAGTGATGATGTTGCAATACGATTATGATTTTATGTTCACTATAGATGGCTCACCTATATTAACAGTACAGTTGGCATTAGGTGTGCACTTTTGAAGTTAATTTCCATGACACATTACCACTCACCCTTCTTTGGTTTGCAGAGCACACAATCCAGGTTTCTTTTGGATGAAACTAAGCTAAAAGATGTATTCAGGAACTTGTGGTCCCAGTATTACCAGGCATGCAATCTACAGAAGTAGCCTGAAGCTAGTCCAAAGCCAAGTCTCCTGAAATGCACATTGTGGACACTGGGTCCTCAGTGCTGCCTCTTTCACTCTACAGAGCCATTTCTATCGCAAGATACTATATATACAGTCCAAATTCCCATTGTCAAAGGAAATGCTGTTTCTTGAAAGTGCAGTCTTGTAACAGTACCCAAAGAGCTTGCAGGAGAGGAGAGCGTTCCCATGGCAAATTATATTCTATCTGGTTTAGCTTCATCTCTTTGTGAAGATTAGAAATACCCTGGGAAAGATACCCAGAATAAAGCTGCTGTGAGCAAGGAGCTTGCAGCTGAGGAAAATGGGTTGCTTCAGAGGAAAATTTCCACTAAATAGCCATATTTGAACTCATGGCTGAGAGAATGGCCCTGTTCACATTCAGGTTCTCCTGAATCTGAGTTTTATAGCCTTTTGATCTCAGAGGGCTGGAAAGAAGCCAAGGGAATTTGTTAGAAGAGTATATGTGATTTCCCTTGTTTAGTTTGCAACCAGTATTCTAGTTGGGAATACTGAACATTAGGAATGATCCTTGGAAGTCTAGAGTAGATGAGACTGAGAGAAGTGCCAGGCAAAAATCTTCCATGAGGAGGACTTAAATTGAGATGGATTTTTTTCTGAGATAATACTTCAGTAAGAGGCAGAAGATGAAGTCTCTCCTGATTCCCAAGAGCTCAAGCAGCAAAAAGTAGTCACTGTTGTCAGGCTTGTTGTTTGAATGTATGTGGCATTATATGTGCGTCAGTTGGCTTCTGTTCACTTTCTTATCCATAGAGAGCACTGCTGATCACTGCCCAGAAATACCGGCATCCCATGCTCCACCACTACCCAAGCCTAAGCCTAAATCTAAAAAAGCTCTGCTACCACCAAAAAATGCTATTGCTGCTTCCACCACTACCAGCCATAAGAGTAACGAAGCACCTCATGCTAAAAAAAAGGGAAAGGCTCCTGCTAAGCAGCCTCCTATCCCACCACCCAAGCCAACAAGTCACAGTGCAAATCGAGACACTGGTGAGTACTGCATTGGCAGTGCCAGTTCTGGTGGGCGCATGTGCATGGGGGTGCTTGGCTTGGTCTGATGCTAAGTTCTGCCTCTGTACATAGCAGCGTTACTAACGAGCATGCCACAGATGTTTTGGTTCTGCTGTCTGCAAACACCCCAGACAGATCACTTTGCTGTTTAAAGAAAGTGTGCACAATACCAAGCACACCAGAGACGATACTGGATTCCCAGTTCATGTGTGAATGCTGGCAAGAAAATAGCCAAAGAACTGGTGAAGAATCAGCAGGGAAAAAGGTGACTTCTGAAACCAAACGCATGAGGTGCCCCAAAGTAAAAATACTATGCTATTGCTACAACTTTCTGCTGAGATACGTATTCTGAGATATCTACTATTCCAATTAATTTGCCAAGATTATAAGATCTCAGAGAGGTAAAAGATAGAACTTTGAAGACATCTTTACAGGCTGTTGAGGAGTAGTTATTTTACTTGAAACAAACAAAACAAAACACCAAACCAAACAAACAGAAGAAGAATTATAACCGTTAGAAATAGCCAGGCTTCCCCGAGATGCTTGGTGGCTTACTGTGATTCTAAATGTGCACTGGAAATGGAAAATGTCAATCATCAGGCACATAGCAGATGTGTTTATCCCTACAGCTTTAAACCGAAATTCAGCAGTGATGCTAGATTGAAGATTATAGGTGGCTGTTCTTAAGGCACTGATCTTGAGTTTGAATAGTTGTAATTTAGACAATGACCAAATTAAAACCTGCAAGTATAATTTGAACACAAGCAATAGTGTGATGAATGGACTGTATATATGACTGACGAACTAATACAAGCCTTGTGTTTTCAATCCTCTGTCAGTCTTTGAAAGCCCTTCAGTCCCTCCAGTTTTCTTTCCAAGTATACCTCTTTGTAGCTTGTAGATTTTGGCATGTTTTATATTTGGAGCATGCAGAAGAAGACTGACTGAAAACATTGCAAGACTGCTAGAGTTACAGTAATAACTCTGCCATGAAATATCCATTAACTTGGTATTAACTGTCCCTACTGCATCAGATGACCACAAGAATAAACATTTTGAAAACCCAGAATTTGCTGCTTGTATTTCACATGCAGCTGGAAAACTCAGTTCTTCTTAGCTGAAGGAACCTTGTAACAGCAGACGTGTCAGAAATAAAATGACCAGTTGCATTAAGAAATGTTCAGACCAGTGGTTGGTAACAAACTCCCAGGTATCTGAGTTCCTAAATTCATACACATTCATATTCCAGATTTGTCTTCTAGTAGCCTTGCTGAAACATCATGCAATGCTTGTGACCATAGTGGTGTAAAATACATCCATGTATCCCTTATATAAAATAGTACCTATTCTTCCGGTAATTTCTTCCAACATTAAAAGTACATTGTGATCATTTGAAGTGAGGCAATGCTTTGTAAGTAGAGCTGACCGGGAGCAGCATTAGTACAGGAGGTTTCTCAGATCCCTGTGAAAGTGAGTGCCTGATGCAGCCAGTGATCCATCCTGTGAAGGAGAAAAGGAACATTAGTAGCAACTGAGCCAGTACTCTCCTGAGGGTACCACAGCAGCTTTTCAAACTGAAATAGTGGAACTGGGAGAAGGGAACTTGAACACAAGCATGGACATGTGCCAAAAGGCAAATAACAGCTGTGAAATTTTTCATTTATTCAAAATTCAAATCTTCTACTGACCAAGAGGCATGACAGAAAATTGTCAGCCAGCCCAGTCAAAAGCAACATTACCATCGCACTTTTGACCCATGTGAAAGTGTAGGAGGGTCTTTCTTGGGAGAAATTATTCCAGTTTCTGTATCTGATTGCAGGTCCAGAAAGGTTCTGAGAATATTTAAGTTTTTTTCCAATGGAAACATCTTTTGACATTTTCCCAGCAATAATTATAGTGTGGCTGTATATTTGTATTATGCTGGAGTTCTTAAGTGTAAGAATGTAATTGGTTCTGCTGACCTCCAGCCTGTGTTCAAGTGCTTTGCTGGATCAGAATCAGAGCCCTTTTTCACTACCATGCACTTATACAGTGAGGTTTCTGCTAAATAATATGCAGGTAGGAGCCACCATTTATTTCCACTGCAGTTAGGAACTGCTGCCTGTACCATTTCTTTGCTTCCTTTTGATTTGCTGGTAAGTTAAGTCAGTGGTTTGCACTTGATGTGGATGCTTAGTGCAGTATCAGATTCGGTACAGTGCCCTTTACAGTGACCTTGCAGCACAGAGAGGGACAGTGAGTTGCCTGAAGTTTCTGTGGATATTTCCAGATGCACTGAAAGCCTCACAGCACTCTGTTTATAAATCATACACTCAGCTACAGAAGAGGACAGTATAATGTGTCTTTTGAATTGTTTTCCATCTTTAAGACTGAAAGCACTCTCACTGTGAAAGCTATTTTTATATTGTGAGCTTATTATGGCCAGTATCTGTATTTTGGGCCTATCCTAATCTGCTGGGGTTTTGTTTTTATTTAAATGCTTGTAAGTAAAGTAGGCCTTTAAGGAGATTTCTGTTACAGCTTTCTGTTTGACTCGATAAGCTTAGCCACAAGGCTGCTGTGTAGCTTTATAATGCTTTCATTTGTTCTCTGGAGGTTAATGTATTTTTACTACAGCAGAAGTGTTTGAGTTGGATGCATTTTGATGAAAAGGACTGGATCATAAGATGGTTGTCATTTTTATTGCTTTTTAAATGAAAGTCAGAAGTTTGAAGCTCCCAGTCCAGATGATGGGTGCATCAACACAGCAATCAGAAATGTGGCTTCAATGCACATGGGCATGCAGGCTGGATGAAATCTCTTTCAAACTTGGGCATTGTACATAAATACTTCAATATGGTAAGTATCACAGGATTAAACAGCAGCATCACAGGCCAGTTTGTACAGCTAGTGTCAAACCCTTGTTTCACTACATTTTCAAGGCTACCCGAGTTGGTCACTGGTAAGATGAAAGCTCCCAGTACATGCAAGAGGCCTTCAGTGCCTCCTCCCTTCTGGAGAGCATTTCTGCAGAGTGAGATCAGAGGTTTCTGTCTCTGTTTTATGAACATGCCCAGCTGGCCTTGAAAGTACATCTTGTTTTGCTGTGCCTGTGCTGCTTGCCATTAACTAGGAGCACACCACTTGCCATAACATTGTGAAAAGTAATTGATATCTGTAATGGTCCTGAGGTGTTCACTGAAAAACATAAGGAAAATCATGGTGTTCTCCTAGTGCTCAGATGAAAATTCACATAATAGGAAAGGTCACACAGTTTTCTCTGTCTGGTAGCAAGTGTTTGTTTTTTTTTAAATAGGGCACTAAATACGCTGGGAATAAATAGTGGATTTTTTTTGTCCAGGCAAGTTGTAATGGGCCAATGCAGAGTGCTGGAATCAAACTGTCACCCATTTGTAATGTTGATCTTCTCTACTGTTCTTGGGTGAGACTATGATTCTAGCATGGTTTCAGTTTTTCCCGTCTTAAAGGTAAAATTTGAACTGCAACATTTACTCGTCTCAAGCACATAGGTAGATTGTAGAAGTATCAAGTGTATTTTTTAAATACTGGCACATGTCAATCCATGCAAAAGGAATGGTGCAAAAATCATAAAGTTGTGAGACTGTAAAAGGGTTTTTCTTTTCTTCTTTTAGCTGGTTCCTCTCATGTGAAAAAACCGCTAGTCTCCAAGTCCTCTTCATCACCATCTCCATCCACATCATCTCATCCTAAAGCCTCTAAGGAGACTTCCAGCAAATCAAGCACATCAGGGACTCCCAGGGGCAAGAAAAAAACTGGGAAACATTCAGCCCCACGAACAGTGCCAGATGGAGCTGCTTCTTCCCCCTCAGGTGCTACAGCCAACAGTTTGGAAGAAAAGGCAAAAAAACTCGAGCCTGAGCAACCTTCCATACTAATTTCAGTAACAGAGGATGCAAAGCAAGCAAGCAAGCTTGTTGTCCCCCCTCCTCCCACCTCTGCCCCTCCTCCACCTCCACTTCCACCTCCTTTTCCTGCTGGCTCTGGTCAGCCCACTGTCTCTTCAGATGCCCAGGATGTGTCAGATGGCTGCACAGCAGGGCCAGCTGTCCCCGGATCAGATACTAATCCTCTCCAGACTGAGCATGGCACAGATGAGAACCATGCCCTAGACAGTGGTCCAGATGCTGGTGGAGGAGACACAAAGAGGTAAGGTGTTATGGCTGTCATGGGTGAATGGTAAGACCCACAGCCAAGGAAGCCACATTTCTTCAAGTAAGGGATGCTGTAGGCACACGGGGATCTCTTTTGTTTCTTCTGCTCACTGGTAACAGTTTGTGTTGCATCCCAGCTCTGTTTGTTCCTTGCTGGTGCCTTTGAGCCATTCACCTGGTGTACCTCATTTTTCCCAAGAAGGTCATTGCTTATAACCTGCCTCCTACATCATTGTGTGGCTTAATATGACCACTGTGGTCAGCAGTTCAGCCAGTAGCTAATAACACTTTTATTCTTACTCATTAAGGCAAACAAGAAATGCTGCTGAGTTACAAGGGGGTTTTACTTTTTTTTTTTTTTTTTGGTGGATATCTAAGTATCTCACTGCTAAAACTCTCAATTCAATAGCTGAATTTACTTGCATACTTGAAAATGACAGTTTTGGGCCTTACTAAGTAGCTTGTCTAAGTATCAGATACTATAAAATCTAGTCAAGAGAAAGGTCATAATTACATTTTTGGCAGCAAATAAAACTGGCTTATTAATCTGTCTTTTCCCTGCCACAGGAACTTTCATAACAGCCTAAGAGGGTTTAGTCTAGATGTCAGTGGCCCAAAGACTTTCCTTTAAATTCTTGCTGATACGTCTGTGTCAGCATTATGTTACTGTACTACTTCTCCCCTTACTTAGTTCTTCCTTTACATAAAGATTTTCTGAAGGAGAAGGGCACTCTGCTGCTGATTTCCATATTCATCAGCGATGGGCATGAATATTTTGGTCTCAACAGCAGTAAAACTGTATTTAATATAAATAGAAATAGGCTTCGAGAACAGGAACTTTTGCATTCCTATCTGCTCTATGGCTCGCTCTTCTCACCCCAGCTTTAAGAGCTGTTTTTCTCTTCTTAGTAGCCTTTATGTACTGTTGGTCCCGCTAGCAATAAAATAGAATTAGGATTTTTCTTTATACAGGCTTTGCAGCACGTCATTCCAGATCATTTGCAACTTTTTTCGTAACATACATGCATACAGATACATGTACACATCTGCATAATTTATTTATGTTTTATGTATGTAATTTTTTTAGAAAGAGAGAGGTTAGTTTGAATAACAGAACTTCTGTTTTCATACTTGCTTATACAGTCTGTCTCCCATTTGTGTTCTGTGCTGCTTGCGTTAATGTGACACCGTGTCTGCTTATGAATTAACAGCTTGGCTACCAAAGAAGATGAAGAAGGGGAGGCACCTGACCGGGCACATTCTGAGCTGGTAGAGGAGGAGGCTTCTGACACTGCTGCTCCTCCTGAGAGTGAAAGTAGCAGAGAGAGCCACAGCAGCGACTCAGACTCTGATGGGCCGATATTGTACACAGATGATGATGATGATGATGATAATGCAAGTGCTGAAAGTAAGCATCCCACCAAGAAGTTGCACGCTACCTTTTTCACACTGCATTACATGAGTATGCCTGTCCCTTGCTAGGGTGAAGTAAAGAGAGGTATGGCTGCATGGGGTGGGTTTAGATGATTTAGTATTTTGCCACTACAGAGAAATGGTTGTCCCACTTCTCCCAGACAGTTGTGATCAGAAACCTTCTGGGACCCATGCAAGGGTGAGAGCAGATCAAGCATTGCACAGATGAGAGCCAAATCAATGGCTCACCCATGTCTTGAGCTCTACTCTTAAAACACCAGTGTGACTTTCAACTGAATTGCACTAGAGATCCCAGAGCGTCTTGTGGGAGTAACAGGTTTTGGTAGACAATAGAGGAAGCCCATCAGTCAGCAGCTTCACTCTCTCAAAGTCATTTGTTCCTCTTTGATCAGGATGTTTTAAGCACTGGAGCACCTTAACAGACAGAACAGATGACAGTGGATTACATCTAATTTTACAGCTTTGAAATTTCATCTGGGATCATGACTATATTATCACCCTAATTTGGCAGATGTCTTTGCTGCTGCTGAAGGGGGTTGTCCTGCCCACCTTCTGCGTAATCCCTGCTCCCAGCTGTTCATTCTTCCCTTAGGCCAGCGCTCATGTTTATTTTTGCAGCGGTGGCTGTTGTTGAGCTGATTTTCAATAGGATCAGTTCTCTGATCCAGCTCACCCGATGGCCGCACCTTTGCCTGAAAGCAGAGTGCTGTGTACCAAAGGGGAGTGAGGGAAAATTAATGTTTGAGTTTTACCTTGGCCACTGGTGCAGCAGAAGGTGATGTGCCAGATAGCTCAAGAGGCTGAAGTTTCTGCAGTTCTGCATCTGGTTTGAATACAATCCAAAGTGGTAGCAACCAAAAAATCATGTATTCAGACAGCAGCATGTGTCTTATGAGAAGAGAGGTGGGAGCCTGTGGTGTTACCAAACTGCATTATGTGGTGAAAATCTGCCAACCTAGGGCATAGGTAGGCCCCTCAGTCAGAATATCAAGATACAAGGGAAGGACTAAAGGCCATAAAAAATACTCTTGCTTCCACAGCTGGCTGTAGCTAAGACTAACAAAATTGCATGGCCCGTGTCCCTGCTGTCTCTGTTTTATGGACAAACAGATTGCTTCAGTGCCTGGGGGTTCCTGTCTAGGTCACTTTACAAGCACTCAGAGCACTTTTCTAAACTGTATTTTTGTTTTAATTTACAAATCAGTTAAAGACTAAAAGCACTATACAAGAACTAAGTGGTATTTGATTGGAAAAAAGATTGAAAGAGTCGGGGAAATTATGACAGAACAAGACTAAACCATATAAGGCTGAAGAAAAAGAGCAACAGCTTGCTAGATGTACTAAGTAGATAAATAAACCAACCTGTAACATATCAGACTTCAAAGACACTTAAGTATAGATTTGTCATTTTTATCCTATCGCTTCACAGATGACAAGTGATGTTTGTAAAACTCCTCTGTCAATTTGGCTAGTAGCTTTTTCATCCAAGCCTTTCAGCTTTTATTGTTGTGGACTGAGCTAAAACTACTTTTCTTTTGATGTTAATTAAAATTCTTCTGCATGTGGGAACATGGCTGCTTTGGGAAGGTATTAAAGTTCTTACTCAGAGTTTGTGTCTGTAACCTAAGTATGAATGAACTGAATCTACCCTTCTCCTTTCCTCAGGCTCTTTGGCAAGTAAAATTCGTCGTAGGGATACTCTTGCTATCAAACTTGGCAACAGACCATCTAAGAAAGAATTAGAAGACAAAAACATCTTGCAGCGGACATCTGAAGAGGAGAGGCAGGAAATCAGACATCAGATTGGAACAAAGCTAGTGAGGTATCAGTTGCAGGGTAAATGTGGTTTCACTGGGCAGAGATGGAGGAAGAGAATCGAGAATACTGGGTTCAAGTTTTAAATGCAGCCCGATAGGCAGTGCAGTATCTTTGTGGTACAACTGTCTGGAAAATAGTATTTTTATTTCTCACAAAACTTTAAAATGTCAATAATGCATTTTTGTCCTGCAGAAAACAAATCTGAGACCTTCGGGGGGGTTGGGTTGTTTGGTTAAAAAAAAAAAAGAATAAAGAGGAAGAGGATAAGAGTGACTCCATAGTAGTAAGTGCCATGGTTCAACCTTTTTCTTAAATTGGTTAGCAAAGACTTGCACTTATATGTACCCGTCTTGGTCAGAACAGTAGTTCCTGACACACAGAGCATGCCTGTGCATGTTCATTCATGCCCTCCCCGTCCTCCTCTTGTTCTCTAACTCTTTCATTATTCATGTGCTGGTTCCAGCAAAAGAAATGGAAGGAGGCAGACTTTGTTTACTGTGCCTACCTCTGAGGCATGTCTTTCTCATGCTGACTAACTTTCTCTTAATCTTAAAAAAGATAAATTTTCACTTGCATTTTTACAAGCCTTTTTTTTTTTTAAATCCTTATAAATGTTAATTTTGGCTTTCATGGTCTCTGAGAATAGACTACAAAATGTCTGGATTTTCCCAGACCTGTCCTTGTTTCTGTTGTGCTCAGAAATGCCCATATAGATTTGGAGGATGTCCTGTGCTTATTGGAGATTTCCAGATACTGGGTAGTCCAGCCAGTACTGCTCCAGTAGAGTCCCACAGCCCTGCATCAGCACTTAGAAGATGAGCTGAGTTGCTCTGTGATGATGGGCTGCATCGTTTCTTTCATCCCTTACCCGTAACAGTGACACATCCATTGTGTAGAGGCCAGGGGTCAGTTTTCTTCTGCTAATAAAGTGGCATGGCTGTTATCTCTGCCTTCCTGACTGAATCCCAGCTCTGATCACCTCCTTGTCAGTGTCCCTCAGGGGCTTGAACTGCATAAGCTGCTCTGGTTCCTGCCCTGAACTTCTTGTGTGGGGACACTGGTGGTTCTGCCAGGAAGCTGGGGTGGCAGGAGGCAGTGTCCATGCATGCCAGGGCTGTGCTCGTGCCTGAAATCACAACCAAGTTTGACTCCAGTTCCTTAAAAATTCCTGCCGTGGTGGTCAGCACCTGGCAGCATCGAGGTCTGTTGGGAAACCTGTTCCCACAGTTGGGTAGAGTCAGGTCAGGTCCTGCCTGGGGTTTCCTACAGCAGGGGCTGGTCACCCGTGGTAAACCTGCCAGTCCTTCCCACCAAATCTGAAAGTCCAAGCATGGTTTGAATCAGAAGCTGAAGATAATCCATAGTGAAGAGTGTGAGGTTTGCTGGACAGAGAAGCATCTATCTTTAATATAATAATATTTTAATAAATCTTGCTGCTGAGTTTTTTCTTGCTGCTTTTCTCAAGAGAACAAGTGAACTTGTTTAGTAAACTTAGAGACAACATCAAACATGTTCTCCGCTGTACAATCCAGAAATTATTTTTTTTTAATGGCAGTTACTATATAGGTAACTAAATAAAATTAAGATTCATGTAAAGCTCCCAGTTGTATGTAATTGGTGAGTAATGCACAGCTCATGTGGTGGTTTTTTAATGAATAGGATTTTCATTCAAAATATCTGAGAATAATCTTACGACTGCACATCTTATCATAATGATGGTGCCTGGGAACAAAAAAGGTTTATGAATTTTTTCATAAAATTATTATTGTAAATAAGGAATTTAAATTTGCTGATACGATTTCTTTAATATTATGCCGGTATCAATTATTTATGTGTTTGACTGGCAACAGTACATATATTAAACCAAATGGCCACTCAGTATTGTGGTTACATGCACAGTTATTTTAACTGTCTGGAAATTACCTGATTTGTTGAACACCTCTGCTGGCAAAGAATAGCCTGACCATATGAGGAACACCTTTTAAACTGTATTAAAAATTATAATGTATTATTTGCATCTGGTTTTAAATCAGTCACTTTGTTCTTACAGGAGACTTAGCCAGAGGCCTACAACTGAAGAGCTTGAGCAAAGGAATATCCTGAAACGTAAGTATTTTATTCAGGATTCAGCTAGTATTTACTTAGAAAGTGAACATATGTTGGATTCATATGGAAGCCTGTCATTGTTGCTCCAGTGTTAGATCCATAACTGGAGAGAAATTATGTTCTAGAAAATAATATGTCAATACTAGATATATATCCTAACCTGTAATGGTAGCTGTGAAAACTGTATATTCAGTGTGCCAAATTTTGCTTCTCACAATCCCACTTCTTGAAGCTGCTCCAAACACCAGGAATGACTTAGATACCCCTTAGAAGTAGTTCTAGGCTGGTTAAACTTGTGCCTAATTTTTATGAGGGAGTAGGGAATATCAGTAGGAGGTGGGAGGTGGGATATAAGGGCAGAGGTTGGAAGGAGGAGTAGAAAGAAGAAAGGTGAAGTGTTAAGGGAAAATGAACAGGTATACAACTATACCAGCATGCTAGCCTTCGTATCCACTTCTGACATATATGTCTTCTGTACTGAAACCTGCATGAGACATTGTCAGTGAATATCTTCCCATTGATTAAATACTTCCATATTATCCCTGGTGAAAAATTTAAGTTTAGAATTTAAATAGTGAGGGACAGAGGAATCAAGTGCACTGGATGTTTACCCCATATGCCTGTTCTTCCATTTACTTATGTTGGTTTTGTTCTGAGGCTGTCAAATATTTCAGAACAGGATTTTTTTTTCTTCTTCCTTTATGAATCTTTCCATACTACGGATGTTACCTAAACACATACTTTTAACAGTTGCCATGCCCGACTCCATCCAGCCCTGCGTTCATTCTGCAAGGGTAGCCTAGTACGTGGTGCCTAAGTAGAAGAAACAAATAAAGAAAATGCACATGCAAATCTTTGACACATAGCAACAAATCAAAAACCTTATCTATTCTTAAGGTATAAGAACTTTCCACACTTGATGAAAGAGCGGATATAATGCTGTTATTTCCAACAACTGTTTGGAAAAGTTTAGAGTTCATCTGTGCAACTGTGGAGCATAGCATGCTAATGGAAGTAAAGAAAATGGGCTCTTTACCTGACAAAATCCATGGACTGATCACTCTGTCACCTGCTCAGGCCAGCAAATCAAGGAAACATAGCAGTTACTGCCTTTCAGGCAACCACCCATGCTAAGAAAATCCTAGTGCTGCTGTCCAAGCTCTCATAAGTCAAATAGTGCCACATCTTACTGAAAAGGGAAGCTGTAGTTCATGGATTGTGGTGCACAAGAGAGGGGTCAGGGGACTCCTGTCCGACACATAATGTAAATAGACTTTCTAGAACTATAATTTCTGAACTTACAGATTGCACAGATAAATGAAGATAAAATATAAACATTTTTTCATATGACAAACCACTCATGCTGGGTTGTGTGAGAAAGGTAATTCCAAAACATGTTTGGTGGGCCAGGATATGGCCACTGAGCTGGGAGCACCAGCTAGGCTTCCTTACTGCCCTCTCTGTCTTGCTCATCTCAGGATAACTGATCTAGCAGTGAACCTGTGATGTATTTAATATCCCTTTTGCCATTGTTTATTCCATTCACTGATTTTGCAGTAAGTAGCTCAAGACTTGAAAGCAGTTAATAGATTTCTTCTCCTGTTTCAGCTTGTTTACTTTAAGTTTTTGGCAGCATAGCAGGCTTTGCACTCAATGCCTCCCACCATCCTCCCCTGCTGCTGCCAGGGGGCTGTCTTAAAGAGGCAAGGGAGAGCAAAAAATAAAGGTTATAAATCACAAGCAATCACAGACTCATTGGCAAGCACATAGAGAATCCAAAACTGCTTTTTGTTCATCACCAAGATATAAAATATTCTGGGTTGATAGTGATCTGTAAAAGCAAAGGAAACTAAACCAAGCCTGGGTTTGTGGTGAGTCTGACTCAGAGCCCCTTAAGGGTGCACGTTCTCTCTCAGCTCCAGGGCAGTCATATTTTTTATCAAAATTATTACATTCCCTTCCTGTGGATCGTTTGAAAATGTTTACATCTCTTAAATGCCTTCATTGTAGGCAGCTTTTGTGAGCGAGTTGGGATTTCTTTCATAAAGCTTCCTTCCTCCTATTTTTAAGTGTGTCTGTAAACTGCAGCTAAGGAAAAGTAATATTTGAAAGTAGTATTTTGAGTAATGTTTATCAGACTTTAAGGTTATGCTAAGTGATAAAGGTGCAAAGTTTACTTCAAGATTAAGTTCAACTCAAATCTTTTATGAAGTTCAGAAGTTGGTATTTTTTCCTTTTCTGCATTTCCAGTTAGAGAGAAAATCTGTCTCGAAGGAAGTTTTGTTTAGACAACGTTTCCAGATAAACCAGTTACTGAAAATCCTGTGGCTGAGTGTGATCGTAAGACATTGCCAGCGGATTTCTATAAAAACAATTTGGATAAAACTATTCAGACTTCTGAGTCTTCCCACACTAAAACGAAGTTCCAATAACTCAGGAGTTGACTTGAAGGCATAGATAAAGCCCTGTGTTTTTAATAAAGACAAGTTTCTTGTGTACTGGCTTTGAGCCAGTAGTATTTATAGTATTGCATTATGGCAAAGAACCTTTTTATTCTTCCAGGAATTTTGGATTAAGATAACTGTATTTTTTCCTGTATTTGTGAGGGACAGCGAACTTCTTGTGCTATGCACCTGCATGCCTGCCAGTACTGGCTTTGTAGAAAACAGGGGTTAGCTCGTTAAGGAATATTAATGGTTATCTTTGCTTGTAAAATGAGGAAAGAGAAACCACATTGTGTGTTCCAGACCTCTGCAAGAGGCAAGCGCTTTGTTTTCCTGCAAGCCCACAGAGAAGTCTAAACATAGCTAATCCCATAGGGACACAGTGGAAAGTTTGGTTTTACACTGCGGGAGTACTTTGTGGTCAAGAACGGAGCAGTCCTCAGGCAGAACAATTCTCTATTCTCCTTTCCCCTTCTGCCACAAAACAAATATCCCACAGAACAAGTGGTGGCCAGGTGTAATATGGCAAAAATTGCAGAAGCACTAATGTGTAGATGTCAGGGAAGCTGCCTGTTCAGCTTTGACTGAAGGTTTGTTTAATTTGAAGGCCACGATAAGTGATGCTAAACAGAACTGCTTCAGTTAGGAGTTCAATCCCAGTTTGACCTCCTAGGAGCTGCAGGCGGGGAAGGAGGAAAACTATAGCTTTGCTGGGATCTAACTGAGGACTCCTGCAAGCAAAGGGCGCTTGCTGTGCTGGTCTTTTGCCAGTACGGCAGCAGCAGGACATCTGAGGAAGGGACTTGCAGCTGGGAACATTGTGTTTATATTTTCTTACCCCACATCACACAGATTAGATCTGCTTTTAAGGTGGAAAGCAGTCAGAGTGTATTCCTATGCATTAATGCGTTCCTGTTTGGGCAAGTGAGTCAGTTTGTACCTGCAGCCAAAACTTGGCCCTCCAGCTGGAATTTCCACAGCACCTGAAGGAAGCAGGAGCACTAGACCCATTCTTTTTAGCACCACACATCTTCTTAACTCACTGTGGCAACTTTCAAAACTTTTATCTTAAGAGAAGAAAAATACACTGTAGGTTTTACTGTTGGTAAGAATTTGTATCAGGGGAATGTTTCTGTAGCACCAAGCTTAAAGCAACACTGCCTGGCAGGCTGGAGATGGAAAGTAGGTGCTTTAGTACGAGTCAGTGCCATAGACGGAGGGCCATTTGCCAACCAGCAAATTGATTATTTTAGCAGCAGCCACCAGATTTCAGTCCCTTTCCTTTAGCTCTTGAGTTTTTTCCTAGAAGTGAAGCAACTTGGATGTGTAAAACCCTTCCCGCTCCCTAACCTCTCATACAGAATACTGTTCCCCATGAGTTTTATTGTCTCCTGCTTTGCTTGGGAGTGAAGGAAGTTCTTGCTGCTTCCTATTGGAGTTGTGTTCCAAAAGGTGGGCTTCCAGCTTTCCTTGACAGCCTTCTCCAGGAACTGCCTGGATCCTCTGCCCAGCAGCTAAGATGATGGCCTTGCTCATCACCCATTTCTAGGTGGTTTCCCATGTCCAGCCATCTGTTCGTGCAGTCATCTGGTACCCACAGGGAGGTAGCTTTACAGCTTGAGATAGGTAGCTAACCTCCAGCCTTCCTAAATGTCCACATCAACTTTTTTGAATTATTTTATCCTCCCCCAGAAAACTACTTCAGGTGACCGTGCTGTTGGTAGTTGTTTCTTAAGGTATGAATTAAGCAGTGCGAGCCACTATTTCTTACATTGTCTTATTAAGGTATCTTAAGAGACACGGTGGTTTTGGATAACAACGAAATGTCAAGATATGAATAATGCAGATTGTATTTTACAAACTAAATTAAGAAAAGGACAGTACAGTGATGTGTATATCCAGCTGCATTTTTTTCTGCTATGTTTGCTACTGGAGAATTTCTGAAGTAGGACCTAAGCTACTCAGTTCATGAGGGGACAAAATTTTTTATGCCAAATGATTCCCAGCTAAATAGAACCCCAAATTAATAGGTTCTGTTTAATTACCTCAGTTAGTATGTCTGTTGGTTGCAAACACAGTAGGTTTAACCAAAAGCCTACAGATGATTTACCTCTCCTAAAACAGCTAGAGAGCTTTTGATTTTGTAAGGCAAAGTTGATGTAAAAAAGAGTTCTCATTTAAAGTCATAAGTCCTTAAGTACACACAACTTTTTTATTGATAGATATATTAATTAAAATTAAAATATAGATTAATCTTTAATTCTCCATTCTTCATTTTCGGTCAGTTTACAGTTCCTCTATGGAAAGAGACCATCCTTATCTTCACCATTTATGAGAAAAGCTGTTAATAAACTATAAACTACATCCTCATTTCAGTATCTCAGTAAAATCACCATCAACATGAAATCCAGCCCAATCCTGGCAGCAAGCCTGTGCAATTGCATCTTGCTGATGGAAACCTGGGGATAGTGTTGGACTCTTCTCACAGAGCAGGTCTTTGGCTGCCATCTCCGTTTTCCTGCTGCAGCTTTCTTCTTTTTCTTTTTTTTGTCATTTGTTTCTCTTCCCCTTTCCCTTGTATTCTTCTTGCATGAGAGCCTCTGAGTTAGCAAAGGAAATCTTCAAGTACCATGAGGTGCCCTGTCGTAGTGTTGCTTCTAGTGTATCAGTCGTGATACAGAAACTCCTCTGCAGCCAGGTTGTCTATGCTAACGCAGCAGGCTGGCCATAGTAGACAGGGCAAATAGGACTACCAGGATTTAAAACTGCCTTTTCATCTATACAGGTTGGCTGCACCCACAATAGACAAATTAATTCCTTTAAATTTATAGTTTGCCTTGAACTATAATGTGGAATCCATAACCCCCAACCATGAAGAAAACAGGATCAGAATTTTACAGATATCTCTAGATGGGACATTTCAGCCACAACAAAGTTAACATTGCGTATAACCATCAGAGGTGGGCTGAAAGGGCAAATAATATTCTTCACAGTGTACATCAGCTTTTAAAAATGCTGAGTCCATGTGAACATGCCTTTGTAAGTGTGCTTTTCACTCACGACATCAAGTTGGGTTAGCACAGAAATCCATTAAAAGTATATTGCAGTCTCATGCCCAAATACATTAAAAAAATGCATGTATCATTTTCTGCTGTACTTGTTCATTTGGTCTAGCTAGTGGCCCTTAACCAAGAGGGCGTGAGTGCTGAATCATATGCCCGCATTATCAAACCAGAAGAAACACATTAAAGTGGCAAAACCAGTTTGCACTAACAAATGGTGGTGAAACAAATTGTCACTGATTCATTGCATCCTGTAGCAGTAGAGGACATTCAGCTGATTCAGCTACTCAGAGCAAACTTTTTTCTTGAGCCTTATGAATAATTAGACTCTAAAGTCAGTAGGAGGAGTGTCGGGAGTAAAAGCAACAGTGATTTTAATGTTAGGACAAGTAATTGAAACATCAGGCAGCTCTTTCAGGGTACTACTTTGCCATAACATAGAAAATGACAGATGCCTCATCTTTGCTGTGTTCCTGACCCGCAGTGGTGACTTGAGATGTCTGCAGAATCAGGGGAAATGAGGATAGGGAAAAGAAATGAAAGCACACACATTCTAAAAAGCAGACAATGCAGGTAGGATCACCCAGAAATATGAGGAAACAAGGGCCAGGACTTAAGTCATGAAGCTTTCAACCAAAAGAAATACAGTATGTGCAGTTCTAATGCTTAAATATTCACTCCTTCTTATCTCTTCTGAAAACAGAGAAAAATGAAGAGGAGGAACAGGAAGCCAAAAGAGAAATAAAACGTAAACTCAGTAGAAAGGTGATGATGTGTTTTTTGTATTGTATATTTTTGTACATACAATTATTCTAAGAATTGATGTATATACATTACTGCAAATGTCCATCAGTTCATGCCCCCAGACAAGAAATCTGTTTAAAAAGCAGTACAAGCCCAGTCCACCTTGGGGGAAACTCCATCCTGGCCAGTTTCCCATATCTGGAAAAGCATACATAGTCTGGCCATGCTCAATATTTGTCCATGTAAGCAGGGAAGAGAAATGGCATGTATTTTCTCTGTGAGCATGACCACTGCTGTCATGTTCAAGGGCAGATGTACCTGTAGATCCACTCTTCCATCGAGCAGCAGAGAAGGCAGCAAAGCAATGTGTGCCCGAAGAAATTCCTTCACCATTCTTCTAACTGCTTTGGCCACTGCAGGTGGGATTGCACTAATTGTCCTGGAAATAAAGCAGTTATGGATGGATCGGCTGCCCTGACTTCAGGAGTTTGTTCTGGGACAAGATGGGGGAGTTTTCATACGTATTCCTAGTCTGCCCTTCTCTGCAAAAATAGTTTCTTTAATATGATCATCCTCAGTTAATTAAAGTGAATATTGTTTTGAGGTGACTGAAACAATTTGGCATCATAATAACCCCCACATGTTCAAATCCAATTTTTTTAGTTAGGCAGCATCTCCAAATCCTGCTTATTTTCAGTATTATGGTTGAACACGGCAGACTCTGTAATCGTTAATGCAAATGGACTACTGCCTAGTGGGGTAAACGGTGTGAGAGTTGCAAAGTCACAATTAATATTCCAGGGATAACTGTCATGATTCTCTGTGACCTGCCCAACAAAGGCTATTTTTATAATGGAAGAAATTAGGTTGTGCTGCTTCCCCATTCCCGTGCAGCACTCCCAGGGTGGTGCCTTTTTATAGCTACCTGAAAGTGACCCTATTTAGAAATACCATTAAAGTTCTCTTGAGATTACATCATACCCTCTTCTTTTATTTTATTTCATCTTACTAAAAGTACTGTTTTCTGCCTCCTGCTTACAGCTCAGCCTGAGGCCTACAGTGGCTGAACTTCAAGCAAGAAGAATCCTTCGATTTAATGAGTATGTGGAGGTCACGGATTCTCCGGATTATGACCGTCGTGCTGACAAGCCTTGGGCTAGGTTAACTCCCGCAGACAAGGCAAGGGACAAACTGTTAGATTATAAGAAAACACTTGCATCTGTCTCTTTTGGGGGGTTTTCCTGTGGTTTGTGGTCCTCTCAATTCTGGCATCTGATGGAGGCAGTGAGATTGTCGTGGTACTGCTGTGCATCTACTGCTTGCACCTGTGAAAACCCACTCAGGCGTTTATGAAGAGCATATTTGCCACCTCCATTACAGCAGTTCAGGCCAGTATTTCTTGTATTTTTAGAGCCTTACTAAGGTAGGTACACACTGTTAGCAAAGATAGCTATTACCCATGGGATTCAGGCAAGGTTTCTGCAGGCAAAAGCCTGCATCACTACCACCAGGAGTTAACTTTTGCAACTCATTGAAGTGAAAAAAGGGAGAGGCTGCTCCATCCTCTTAAGAGTTCTTGGCCACAACTATCAGTGCGGGAACTGCCCATGTGCATGCAGCACACCTTCTTGGGAAATCAGCCTCCAACATGCTGCAGTTAATAGTTCCTCTGCCTGACCACAAAGGATGAGACAAATGATTCTGTGATTCTCTTTTAAAAAACAGATCAGTCAAAGAGTATCATAAAATACTCTCCCATTTCCCTCCTATACCACTTCATAAAAGGAAAGGTGTAGGATATGTGTCAAAAAGTGCCAGCCCTTTTAGCACTGGGTCAGAACCAGCTTTTACAGAAATCCTAAGAGATGTGCTTGGCATGAGAACTGATATGTGCAAGAACCCACTATCTTTTAGATATGTACTGTGAAGCACTGATTTTATTTCAGCTTGTATTTTGATATTAATGCCAGCTCATCTGACAATCAAAGGAGAATCTCATATGAAGTCAAGGTGGAGACATTAAAAATGTACCCAGAAGTGTTTGTAGATATGGGTTCTGGGAGGTGCTGAGCACTCTCAAGTCCTTATGAAGTCTGTGGGAGATTAGAGCACTCAGAAAGTCCCCTTTCACCTAGGTTTAAACCAGGGTAAACTGCACTAGAAGAAACAGTGGAGTTTCCTACCTACTTTAGGGTAGCAGTTTTTAATCTCAATTCATCTCGTAGTGAACAGGTGCCCAAGGCTGGTTCTGTGAGCCCCATGTTTGTTGGCCTGAGCAAAAAAGCAGACCCCTGGTTGACTGGAAAATCCCTTGCCCTTTTTCCCAGGGAAGTCATTTTTCTAATTCCAGTGGGAGCAGAAAACTGTACTATAACTATGTTACGGAGCTGGAGCTCTGGTTTCGTTGCTGCTCACTTGGTGCTCAGAAATAGCTCTTTCTTTCCTAGCTGTTACAGCAGTCTCCTGTAAGCATCCTGTTGTGGCTAAACAGAACCATCCCCTGCTTAAAATGAAGTTTCTCATATATGAGACAGCAGTCTGGTGATGCTGTAATTTTATCATGCTGCTTGCCTGTTCTGCACTGAAAGGCATGCACACCAGATGAGATTTCTTTAGGGACTAATGAAATGATATGGCTTTTATTAAAAATGGTGAAAGAAAAGAATGAGTAAAGATAAGCTGTTGTTTCGTTGCACAGTGAAGGTAGGAAAATGTACAGCATAGAAACAGAAGCCCTTGTAGTATATATTAGAATATTTCAGAAATTATATCCAACGCTTTATGAATTAAACTGCTTATCACTTTATTAACATAAGCAACAAGGCATTTAAAAAGTGTGCTGGATTTCTGCTGTTTTTTAGTATCTGCCAACTGAAAACTCAAACCTGAAATGTCCAAATATTTCACATAATTTTACATAAAACTAATCAAAACAAGTGACTAATTCCACTTGAAAAAATGCTATTCATCTTGCATTCCTGAAGTCCTATCTTCAGCGGGGAGATAGGAGGCCCCTGCTGTGTGTACAGTGCCTGTGCAGGCAGCGAGACTCACCAGCTCCTCAGGGGCTGTGCCTGAAGGTAGGATCCCCCCGGCTGCATGCTCAGCAGGTGACTGTCCAAGTAATCCAGTCCTGTGCCCATTTTTGTCTGTAGCAAGTGCCACATTTCAACAGGAGGTCGATTTATCCGTTGCAGTAGATTTGGTGTTTCTTTGTTTATTGTTGGTGTTGAGTTTCTTTGTAGTGTATTACTGCTCCATATAGCTGTAACTGAAAAAAGTCATTCATGTTGGGGATCAGAAATGTGTGGGTTACTGTAAGGGGGACTGGAAAATGGGAACTGTAAGGGAACCTGCAAGACTAGGGACAGGTTCCTTTTAGACTCTTTAGTTTCCTTAAGATTCATATTTCTTATGGTTGTGTGTGTCATTATTGTTTATTAGGCAGCAATACGTAAAGAACTGAATGAATTTAAAAGCACAGAAATGGAAGTACACGAGGAAAGTCGGCAATTTACCAGGTAGGTGAAATCCCTCTTCTTGCATAAAGTGGGGAGATGACAATGACACTCTGCCTTTCTGCTAGTCCTCTGCAGTTGTGCCATGACTTGCGTGGATTCCTACCATGAATTCCCTTGAATCCCACCTGAATCTCACCACTGATTCTGTTGGGATTCCCATTGTTACTGGTGCCATCCCAGAATCCAAACTGATACAGCAGTGAAGGTGACTGCAGTTGCTACATGGAAAAAGATCGTTTGGGATATCTAAAAAACAATCCTTTGAAAGGACTCAGCATTTCTCGCAGATGGAAGTTAACAGTCCTCAAGCATGAAGTAAGGGATGTTCTTCTCTGGTAGTACTCCCAGTACTCCCTTGCTCATGAAAGTTTACGTTTTTGTAGATACATTTGGTTAAGTGAAAACTAGACAATGTGTTGAACTTCAGGAAAGCTAACCAGTGTTTTGGGGAGCTTTCAAAAGGTCACCTAGGCTCCTGGCAGTAAGACACAAGATAGACTCTTAAAATTCCCTGTCTGCTACTTGTAATGTGTTTATTTGGATTTGTTTTGCCCTCCATGTTGGATAGCACCAAGATGATGTCTGAAGCATCATTATTTAAAGAACTGTATGAAGTGTCCATAGTTTTTTAGCAGGATTTCAGATTCGACAGAGTTATTCCTAGGAGGAGGGGGGAGGCACTTTCTGCCATCCCCATGGTATTTGAAGTTACAAAGGCTTAGAATTGCCACCAGCAAGCAAAACTTGCTGTTAGGATCAGCTGACATTGCATACATAGTATAGCTGGTTTCACTTCCACACAGAGTTAAGTCAAATAAGAACAATTGCCCAGGACTGGGTACCTTCCTTTTCCTGCTACTGCTTCAATCAAACTCAGGATCCAAGCAAGCGAGCGTGAATCCTCTAACCAAAGAGAGTGTCACAAGGAAAATTCACAGTGGGAGGTGCGTGTTTGGTGATTTCTGCCATCACGAAGATCACTGCTTGATTTCACAACTTCATTGGGTTTCTTTCTCACCAAAACATTATTTTTAATAATACTGTAAAGTCACTTCAGTGTGGATATAATGCAAGAAAAATAATTTTCAGAAAATCAAACCAGTTTCACAGACAGCAAACCTAAGCCAGGAGATGAACCAGGAATCAGGGTTTCAATCTAGTGTCTCATTCTGACCATTAGAAAATCTCCTCTTCAGACATGGATATGTACATTTTCATTTGGCTTTTGATGTCATTTTCTCTTCAGCCAGTAGGTAGTATATCTTCTTTAGAATATATAAAAATGCTACTGTAAAAAATTGGTCATTCCAAGGGAGAGAAGGAAAATGAGCAGGAACAGAAACCTGGCTGCATGCTGAGAGAGAGTGTGACCTGCTGCTTATGTTACGTTTTTTGAGTTGCATTGGATACAGAAGTGTAAGTACAGATAGGCATGAGTCATACAGAAAGAACTGGATATTTTTTCATGAGAACTGAGAACAGTTGAGACTGGTTACAATTGGATTCTTAAAGGTGAACCAAAAATCTCAGGGATTCAGTGGAGGGACAAACCAATTAAGAAGTTTATCATTTGTTTTGAGGAGGGTCTTGGAAAATGGAATAAAAAAAAACAAAATTGTGCTAAGTACAGGCAATGATTCTATAGGGCCCTGGAAGAATTTTGACCTGAGGGAAATCAGGCGCACGCTGCTTCCCCTCCAAGCTCCTTTTTTTTTATTTTGAGTGGTCATGTTGTGGAGTCACTGCACAGAAGTCAGCAGAATAGCATGAGAAAAGCTAATTAAGAGCAGAATAGGATGCAGACGTTTTAAGTCAATTGCAGTTTTGAAAATAAAAAGAGATTCCATTTCCTCTGGGACCTCTCATTAAAAACTGTGTAGTTCACCACTACGTTTGGATTGATACAACAAAACTGATTTGTTTTAAGAAACCAGTAGACAAAAGGCTTGAGCCAGAGAATGAATTGTTCATCTTTAAATTTTTTTCAAGAAGATCACTGAGAGAATACAAACCAAAAGGCACTTGCATTGGCAGCTGGTTAACTGGCTGGTTAACAAAGGCTTATTTGTGTAGTTCTGTGATAGAATGAGACAAGGAGGCTACTTATTAAACAAAAATAGCTCATAGCTTGTAGTTTCTTATATTATTACATATTCAATATAAGGTGTTTTAATATTATAGTCAGTATTTACAATATCTTTGTATTGTAAAAATTTGATACTAAGCTTGAGAAAGAAAAACCCCTGTTTTTCACTGTTGATCACTTACTGTAATGACTGTCAGTTGAACTGTTTTTCTACTCCTAGTAATTTAGAATGACTCCTTCTGTTACTTCATAACAGAATCCAAGAAACTGAGCTCCTAAAAATAGAGAAATAAATAAAAGTTTGGGAAGAGGATATTAGCAGATGTTTATAAAAGGCTTCTAATGGAAATGCTATATATAGTCCAATATATCATTGTTCTACACAAATCCAGAAACTGTGTCCTTTTTGCAGTACACTGTGCCCTCACTTAGCAGATGAGCTGCATACTTGTGAATGTCAGCTCTTGTGTACACCTCCTTTATTTGAGAAACGCATCCCTGTATTGTACTGTACCACATTACAGGGGGAGTGTGTGGCTTGTTTGCTTTTCTCTTCTCTGTAACTGTCAAAAGAGAATGTGCCAAACAAAAACTTACGTAAATCTACTAATGATGCAGCTAATACACTGCATCATTACCTATGCTTATTTAAAGCTGCTACATCTTCTACTACTTCATCGATAGATATATTTTTTAAGCCTTTTAAACAGGCATTTAGAAGTCTGGTGATAGATGTGTTGAGCATGTGATATCGGTGCCCTTCTTACCTTTCTGCGTGGATTCATGACATTTAAGCTGAGTTAGGATTTCAATTGCTGTAGGCTCCTAACTTATTATAGAAAAGGTTGCTGACACCCTTTGGAGCAGCCCACCTCTCTATCTGTCATACAGTCAATCTGGAGTTATGTACATGCCCTACCTAAGAGTATAAAAAACAGTGAGGTGTCTTTGGGCCTTCTTGTGTCACAGTTGGCTGCTGTTAATGGGAGGAAAGCATCTGCAGTGCTGTAAAATTTGCTGCTTACTTAAAAAAATCCACAATTTTTTTAGCCTCATTTTGCAGAAGGATTGAAACCAAGAAATTTAAGCCTTGTGGCTTAGCAAAGCTTTTCTGTTTTACTGACAGTGTCCAAATAGTTGGTGCGATGGTGGCTAAATCTGTACTGGCAAACAAAACAGCCTGGAAACTGTTCTGTGGTGCTGAGGCCAGCAGGCTTGGCAGAGCTTAAATTCATACAGTTAACCTATTCACCCCACCCCAAAACAGGGCAGTGTCCCTCCAAACCCAGTCTGCCTGCTGGCTTGTGCTAAGCCCAGCCATGCCCCAGCAGTGTCTGGAAGAGCACTGGCTGACCTCACCAAAACTGTGCCAGGGACCACAGTAGCAGGTTAAGGGTATGGACAGGCAGATGGACACCAGCGCTTGAGACACACAGTAGCCCTGCTTGGTTTTCTAGCAGAGAGAGAGACAGACAGTGTGGAGTAATAGGGCTGACTGATCCCACGCAGACCAGGAAAATCAGGAATAATTCTATTAAGGCAAGAAAAGTAAACAGTTGTCAGAGCAGGATGAGGATCAGTGTCATTGCCAGTTGAAATAATGTAATTCTAAGTATTTTAATCATTTATCATTTCAGGTTTCATCGTCCATAACTGTTTAACCACATCCTCTATTTCATGTAACAATTTTCTTTGGGGAAAACGTTGAGTCCTGAAGACCTGAGATTGCACTGGAATTTGACCGAGTATGAGTGTGTGCTACAGCTTACCCTGAGGTTAATGAAGGATGTGGCCCTCATCTTTATCAGTGGACAAATGCTTTGCCTAGGAGGAGAACCCACGTGAAGTGTTTGTCAGTATTAAGACAGACCATGGTTCTGTGGCTATCTCACACAGATGAGTCGGTGGACTTCTTCATTGGAGCTCCACAAGTCAGGAAGTGCTGAAGACAATCGCTTGAGAGCCTGTCACCAGGAACTCATCAGACTTCATAGGGTTGTGAATGAGGGTAACTGAGTGTGAAAAGGACTGAGAGTGTGGAGGAAGACAGACTTCACTTGTTGGTCCACAGACAAGAGTGGAACAGATGGGACTGCTCAACAATGCACTTGGCCAGTGGGAGAAATTATTTTTTAAAAGAAACTAAGAGTGTGAGCAACTGTGCATGTATTTTTTTTAGTGGCCACAGCCTGTCTTAGAAAGACAGCAAGCCACAAGTCCTCATGTCATCAGTACTTTAGTGAAGAACTGTAATTTTCTCTGGTGCCAGTAAATACAGTTGCCAGAAATTAGTTCTAGTATAACTCAGCTGTCTTTTTTAAAATCCCAGTGAGCATGCTTCAAGAAAATACATTGAACACTCATACAGAACAAGTCATATATTTTTGGGGTTTTAATGTTGACATATTCCTGATCCTCAGAAATACATAAGCAGGATTTGAAGGACAAATAACGTGACACTATGAATGCAATGAAATGCTTCATGTTTATAAACACTCCTTGCTGTCTGTCACTTGCTATTCAAACCAGAGGGATCATCATCTTTCTCACCCATGGCAGGCAGTGGAGACAACTTTGACATGATGCTAGTGTGAATCCAAAATCAGAATTTAAATTAGTCATAAAAATCTTTACTAGTAGGCTTGAGCAGTGATTACTAATGTGACTTTTTACACTTAAGGACTCTTATACTGCTTTGAGGAGGACTCCTAGATGAATCAGTATGTCTTCAGCCAGTGGTCCTGTAAAAGTGAATGGAAAATCCTTAGCGTGTCTGCAGCCTTTTTTGTTGAGTGTGAAGAATGCTTCTTAGAATCGTAATTTTTTATACTGTCTTGAAATTGTACATGTGAATTCAGTACTATTAAAATTAAGTGGTATGGAGTGTAAAAGGCAATACATGGTTTCACTAAGTTGGCCCAAAGGCCTACTCAAAAGCCTGTGGCATTGTTTACACTAAGAAATTCTCTGTCTTATATTAGCACTTATTTATCCTTTGAATTAATGTACACAACATTTGGGGGGGTCTGGAATTCACTTATGCATACATTTAATGCAGTATTACAATATATTTCCTATTTATCCTTTCTAATGTGTGTACATATTACAATTTATTTTTGTCTTTCATGTGCCCTTTTAGTTTTTAATTATGAAGTGTAAGTATTTTTTTTTCAGGCAATAAAAGGTCTGTGTAGATGTGATTTTTACCTCAGAAACTACAGTAGATTCTTGTGGAATGGTTTCAGTTTATAAAATTGAAGATGGTTGTTTTAGATGCCAGCCTAAAGGCAGAAAGGCAAGTTGGTGGCTAAAATTAGATCTCCCTCTTTACTGATATTTACAAGACAACCAGGTTTGTATAAATGGGGTGGATTATTTTAGTAAGGAGCACTTCTAGTAACAGAAGAGTACTTTCCAGTAGCTGTCACTCTATTATTTTTAAAGAGATTGACAAACTTTTCTTTTTTAAAAAGCTAGATTTATATGACTTTTAGGGTCCATACATTTTAGTAAAAATCTAGTGATGTACAGACCCCAAAATATCAATAACCAAATAAAATAACCAGCCATGTGCTTGTAGCAAAGAAAGGAAGCAGCACCTTCCTTTTTTTAATGGAATCAATAAGAGCCGTTAGGATTCCATTTGCAGAAACCAGTTTAGTTTCTGTGGGGCCCATCATTTTATAAATATAGAAACACCACTTCGACATCAAGGAAGCAGTGAAATGTATTCTTTGGCACTAAATCATACAGGAATGATCAGGCCACTAGAGTGAAGGTTTGTCAGCAATTCTGGTAGAATCCTAATTTTTATTTTTAGAATTTGAAGAGTAAACTTAACACTAGCACATAATAAATAGTTCTCCTGCTTAAACTTTGTTGTTGTTATTGCCAAATTTAGAAATGTGTGTCCAAAATCCTATAAAGGTCTGCTGTGTTGACTTTGAAGTATAAACCACAGCATTTCACTTCAAAGGAAACAGTGGAGGAATTAAATAGACCTCAGTGTTGCCTTAATCACTTTGAAGTGTTCGAAAGCAGCCAAGATGCTAAAGGCATAAAGATAGCTGTTTCACAGGCAGAATAACTTGGACAAAGGTAAGGTCAGACTATATAAACTTCATATAAGACAGTAGCTCCGCTGACATACCAGAGTACATACGGGTTACACAAGCAAACCAAAACTTGCTAAATTTGTTAGAATTAAGTGATTGAATTCACTTTGCAAGAAGACATTCCTCTACAGTAGGCCTGGAGCATGGATGGAAAGACATATGCCACCTTCTCTGTGTTTTAACAGTTAAACCACAAAGATGAGGATATAGCTTCTGGCTCAGACCTCCTCAAGCTGTGTTTTGCCCTAAGAAATGAGGTGAGCTATTACTCAGGCTTTGGGGTTTTTTTAAAAGTATCCACTACAAGCCATTGCTAAAGGCGGAATACTAGCCTGGATGGAGATGCTGAGCTAATCTTTAGTTTCTTATGTAATTTCTTCTTATTTTGATGATAAATAATCAAATGCATTCATTGGCCCACAAGTCAGCAAACTACTTAACCAAATTTATGTAACTGGACAAAAAGTTTTCTTTATTGGAACTTATGTAAAAATGTAGTATACTTGCAGAATTAGAACTATATCTATTGTGTATTGTACCCACACACAGACCTAGAATTGTAAATACTATTTTTATATTCTAAATATCAACTGTCAGAAAAACAACAGCTGTAGAAAATAATCCATGCAATAAAAAATAGCACGATTTTGGTATGTTGCTGTGTGCAGTGAAGCAAGTTTGCTTTACCTTACTGAGCTGCCTGAAGTCAGTTTCTGCTGTATCTCCCAGTCCTCTGTATTCATGATCTCGAATGTCTTCGAGTTGCTACAACAGCCTGTTAGAAATAATACGTCATGTACCTGTCTGTGGTGCTGCATACCTGTTAGAAGGGAAAAATCAGGACAAGTCCTGAGAAACTCCCGAGTAAGTAATCCTTGAGGATACAAAATAAAAAGATGTAAAAAAGGAAAAGAAAAAAATAACACTTCCCATGCAATGTATAGTACAGTCCAGTTGGCTAAAAGGGATCACTGTGTCAATTTTTATGAAGTTGGAGAAATCATTTAAATGTCATCCACAACATATGACAAACCTTACACACATACCTATGTTCCACAGAGTCAGATAGGAACTCAGATGTCTACATCCACACAAAGAGAAAATTACTAGCTTGAAGTAGTGGTGCTGAAATGACTTCATACATCAGATTTTGTCAGTAGGATCATGCACGACAGCATGTTGCTGTGAGTGCAGAAGAGTGGATGCTTACAAATCCTGATTTCTTCTTCACATAATAAATTGAAATGGTTCTAGAATGTCTCTCATCTCTCTCTTCTTTCAGGCAATACAAATTAGTTCTTAAAACTGAATTTAGTTGTTTCAAATGAAAAATAATCTATCTGAATTTCTTCCAAATGTAATATATGTGTTGATTCAACAAGTACCAAAAAAAATAATTTAAATGCTAATGATTATTTAAGCTAAATACCATTTCAACTGGTGATTTGGAAAAAAGGTAGGACCAGCAACAGTGTCTCTTCAAAATCACTGAAAGTATTCATAGCCATTTGTAGGTCTATTTGCTGGGTTTAGCATTTACCTACAGTTGTGCATGTCCCTTGCTGTGGTGAACTTTACTGACCTCTGATGTGGTGTGGGCCAGGGCAGCACCACTTCTGCTTTGGCCACACTGGACAGCTAGCACTTTGAGAAGTACCACAACCTCAGTGCTGACATGTAAAAACCGTATCAGATGACCACTTTTCTTCTTTTTTTCCTTGGAAACCAAATGAAAGCTGTGAAACAAAGGGATGAAAATGTCTCTGAAGTTACAGAAATTTGCCCCCTCCTTCCAGGTGAGATAAGTTCATTGTTTCCAGTGGAGATGCTTCAATCCATCTCTGTGAGTAGGAATACTACAGCTACATCAGAGAATTTGTTTCAAAATAGCTGTCACTAACTTGAGTATAAATACAGTCTGAACCACAATTTTATATCATAAAATGGGAGGAAGATCCAGCCAGCAAGGACTAAAAATGTCTATCTAGTCTGGCAGCCTGGGGAATCAACTGAAACCCCCTCATCAGCTGCAGCTGACAGCTGTGGGAAAGCCATGCTGTCGCCTGGGTACCTGGCAGAGTGCACCATTAGGACAGGGCTGGCTGAGCACTGCTGGCATCCTAAGTAGGGACTAGAATATGAGCCCGTATCTTAATGCCTGTTAATGCTTTAATGATAAAGTAAATCATGCTAAAAGCCTACATTTGCATTAAATTGTTAGGTATGCCAGAACTGTGTCTTTCAGCGCTTTCACATCATCTATTTTTATTCATATCTCTAGGAGTTAAGACCTGTGCCGCTGCTATAAACTAAAATAAAGACATACTCAGGGTGAAACACAGAATAAACTTGCCACCTGCCTTTAGGAGCTCCACATTTAGCTCCATTATTGTTCCTATCTTAATTCTTATTGTACAACGAATTGCACTCTCAGAGCAATGCTCAGTGCTGGGACCTAGCTTTTGATGAACAGAAAAGCAATTCTGAAAGTTTGTATTAGGTTGATGTTAAAGTATTTTGAGAATCAAATTAAAATAAAATTAAATTCCCCAGA